CACCTGGTCCCGCCACAGCTTTTTCCAATCTAAGTCTGATCCAAAACGACCCTCCGAGCCTCACACTTTCGGTGCCCACCCCTGCTTCCGGCTCGGTGAGGGCCTCAGGGAGCACGACCGCGACATTGTGAGCCACCGCCAGAGGGGTTCGTATGTTGCTGTAGCTTGCGGTTCCACTGATGCATGTGTTCGAGCAGCATGGAGCAGTGGAAGCGTCTGTTGCCTGCAGGTTCGTGCTGCGACGAAGAAGCGCAATAGGTTGCGGCTCCAGTGATGCATGTGTTCGAGCAGCATCGAGCAGTGGAAGCGTCTGTTGCCTGCAGGTTCGTGCTGAGACGAAGAAGCGCAAGGCTCCCGCACCTGTAATCCCTCGCGCGCTCCCCCTCCTTCAGCCGGGGTCGGCGGATATATATATTTGATCTCATGGTTATATCGTAGTCACGACCAAGGATCTCGACAGTCAGACTCATGGATAAGTATGACTACGGAGCAAATGTTTCCAAAGCGCCGTCTTTGAGGAAAACGCCACTGACGAGTGTTGCGCCAGAAATTGAGAGGCCACCACGATCGGATGCTGCGTCCTCAAGCCACCAAGAACGAGGAGAAGCTCAACGCCAAGATCCCAAAGGCAAGGGGAGAGGCAAGAAAGGTGGTAAGAGTTTCAAAAACTCCAAGGGTTCCCAACCTACTTGGCAGCGAATCAACTGGAACTATCGAAGTTGGCCTACTTATGGTTCAACATTCCGAGATGAGCAATGGAGTAATCCGGCCATCAGAGAAAGGCGCTCTATATTGGGATGATTACCACAATTGGGACGAAGAAGAAGAAGGCTATACGAGGAAGATACCAGGCGCTAAGACAAGTTCAACTTACCAAGTATGAACCTCTGTCAGTCGTAAGAGTGACTATGCCACCAACCTGGTCATATTTCTCAGTTGAGCAAGTCACAAAGACTCGGACTATCTCATGACGAAGATCTACTGAGAGTTCTCTGAGCGTGGCCAATTCGACTATCGTTTTTACAATTCATTTGCGCAGCCATTAGGTCTACTCATGCATTTATATGGTAATGCCCGCTTAGTTCCGCTAATGTTGGGTAGTGCAGAGTCCATTTTCGGCCTTGCGGCATCAAGTCGAAGCCTACTGTGCAGTACTGACCCTTGAATTTAATTGTGTGTATCCGAAGCTGACGGCGTAGGATACATGGGGGGTGTCGATGGAAGTGCAGCCACAGGCCACATAGTATGTATAGCATGTATACTATGCGTGTGACGACTTAACACTTTGGCTCAATTTCGCTCAGCATAGAAAAGTATTGTGTGTTGCTTTGCCGTGCGTGGGATGCTGGATAGCTTTGTTCACTGTCGGGTTACAAGGTTAATATCCATCCTTATTTTTCGTTTGGGTAGCATGAGAAGGTCTGTTGTGTAGCGTGCAGTGGGTGAGCCAGCGCTCAAAACCCAAGAACATTAGAAAACCATGGCGCAGCCATGAACATCTGCAGTGGACACGAAGGCCGTATGGTGCGCAAAAAACAGTATCCGGTGCAGCGTGGGTATGCAAGCCTTCCAACAGCAATATCAACTAAAGAAGCTGGACGCTGCAAAACAACAATACGCGCCCCAAAGGGCAGCAATCGATCCTCTAGGTGGACACCAGATCCAAACTGTCTCCTCACGCGTCGGCGCGCATCGTCACGCATCGTCACGCGTCGTCGCGCGGCGTCACGCAGCGCCAGCGACAATTCAATCCTACTCCGCTTTTTGTGGGCGGGCAAGCTGCTTGCGTTCGTGTCGTCTTGTGGCGCACGTGTATCTCAAGTGTTTTGTTCTTTTTGGGTGGTTGGGCAAGATTCCTGCATTCGTGTCGTCTTGCACGTGCGTGTGCATCTCAAGGGGGCTTCGGAGTGGGCAAGATGCTTGCGTTCGTGCCATCTTGCGCGCACATGTGTCTTAAAACCCCGCCGGGGCTTTACAATAATACCATACTATGATACTATGTGCGCCGGTGGTGGCTTCGGACTTCTTGTGACGATGATGTCAATGAGCGTAGACAAAAAGCCCTACTGTCTGAAGCGGCCGGCCGCAAGTGCGCGCAGAACAACATGGGCTAAGGGCTTGGCAAAGGGGCTCCGGCCGTGAGCTTGCGCCAGCCTTCTACTTTTGCGGCCGCAATTCCGCACGGAACAAGATGGGTTAAGGGCTTGGCGGAGCGAGCCGGCCACGCCTAGCGCACGCCTTCTTTTACTTCGAAACTGCTGTCCGGCACCCTTCATGTATTTTTTTTTGCGCGCGGGACAAGGTGGGCGAAGGGCTTGGCGAAGGGAGCCTGCCACGCCTCTGGCCGTGGGCTTGCGCCAACCTTCTTTGCTTGGTTTTGAAGGCGCAGTTTGGCACCCTTACCGGCCGCAATTGCGCGCAACGACATGGGCCAAGGGAGCTTGCCACGCGTCTGGCCGTGACTAGGTTTTTAGGCTGCTGTCTGGCTGTCTGGCTGTCTGGCTCCCTTTCCGGCCGCAATGTGCGCAGAACAGCACGGGCTAAGGGCTTGGCAAAGTGCCAGGCCTCTCGCCGTGCGGCTTGTGCCGAATGTGTTATACTGAGTTTCGACCGCAATTGCTCGCAGAACAACATGGGCCCAAGGCTTGGCGAAGGGAGTGGCTCCTTGTATTGCAAGGTGTGCAAGCCCAACAGCTTTTCCAGAGTGCCTAGCCAAAGGTAAGGTTCCACCCTGCGGTGTCCCAGGTGCCGCCCCACTTAGTGTGGGCTAAGCCGGGGTCGTCGGATAACTTGGGAGGGTTTTGCGAAAGACGTTTTTGTCCAAAACCGTTTCCTAGTTTCAGGAAGATTTTAGGTGCAGAGTAGCAGCGTTCTGGTGCAAGTGTATGTATGCAACTCACTTCAGCTTGCGAAGCATCCAGGGTACCCATTCGCCCGTGGCCCTGTGTGACAGTGTGACACATGTTGGGATTGCGTTCTTGATGGCTAAGGCTGCCTTTCAGAACAAGCAGTTTAAAGTTGGCGGGAGGGGCGCGTGCAAGCGAAGATGTGTGGAAGCCTGACAACGTTTACAACAACACGTGGACCGCCTACGCTGCAAAACAGATTCAAACGGGGGTTGTTCAATACAATGGTGCTTTCCGCTATCCCGTTGCAACTGGTGTGTGGGGACAAGCAGCAGCTCAGCAGCAGCTAAAAGGACCATTTTGAAGAGGTTGAGCGCTGCATTTTCGATAAATAGGCACCAACCAACCGAAGACCAAATTTAGAACGCTTGCAACGGGTCACTTTGGGCACTGCAGAGATAGTGATAGTGATAATCAGTGATAGTGACAAACATTTTGCTGTTGCCACACGTTGTTTGACCGGCAGCCTGGCAAACCCGTTCAATACCCAAACCAGTGAAAGGTTTTAATTGCGACGTGTTGGCACTTCACCAGGTGTCGCTTGTGTTGCGCCCGAGCCACACCAGCCACATGTGGCGTTGGAAAACTGACACCCTGGGCGGGCACCAGAAAAGCAGGCAGCGACTGTAAGGAACCCACCACGGATAGCAAACTTCAATTTTCATTTCCCTTTTTGTCCTCTTCTTTCGCTTGAACGCATTGACGTGCGAATCCAATCGAAGCAAACGCCCCATATTGAAACCGTCGTTGTCACAACTTCAGCAGCTTGTGGTGTTTGGGAAACCTGCCAGGGGTTGTCGTACATCAACCAAAGCACCCGCTCCAGCACCAGCTACGTGTTCATGATACTTGGAGGTTGCGTTGGAGAATTCTGCGGCCTCACTAACGCCCTCTATTTGTACCGATCTGCGTCTCAAGCGGCCCTAGTGACTCCAGTGCTTTTGTCACTGCTTGGCGCCTTTGCTTTGACGTAGGCAGAGCAGGCTTGCTTTTGACTTTTGACCTTGCCAAGCGTGAGGGCCCTATATACCTCGCACAAGACGAGGGGGAATCACAAGCAGAAAAGACACTAAGCTTTCCACACCTATATATATATAGAGTTGTGGCGTGTTTTGTGCACTTCAATGTTTTTCTATAGAGACTCAACCATCCGCGGTTGGTGATTTGGTCTGAGTGTAAGCGGCCTTTAATGGGCTGGATGCCAGGTGGAGCTTTGTCAGATCTTCGTTGATGCTTCGCCCAAGTGTCAAGTGTTCTTTTTGGGTGTTTGATCCGTTCCTCTTGAAGTGTTGCAGGAGCCTTCGTACAGATCGACTAGGTGACTAGACTGGCCTTGCGGCATCGCGGCATCGCTGCTGGTCAGCTCTTCGAGTGCCACCGAGTTGGACCGAGCAAACGTGGATGGCTTCGGCTCGATGCCGCTTTGGCCTCGGTTGCGGAGGGCTTCGGTGCCGTATTCATGACTGGGCCCCGAGCGGTATGGAGCAACCCTTTGACGCCGCACGCGCTCAAGATATACAGAACAGGGACACAAATTGTGGAATGCAACAAGGAGGTCGACATGATCCAACGCTGCCGCTTTTCATGCTTGGCTCTAGCAGCGAGGTTGAGTCTCGAAGTCGTGGAGGTGACGGCAGAGGGTCAGTAGGGTTCCTGAGGCTTTTCCAGCTGGGTCCCTGTGGTACTTCAACTCAGAACGAAACCGCCCTAGAACCCAAATGATGTCCATTTCAGGCCCAGTGCACGATTGGTGGGCAGCTGTGAGGAAGGTACTGGGATCGGGTTGAACTAAATTGTCCAGCTTGTATATGAAGATTTGCATTGCGTTCAACCAGGACATTATTTGTAGCCTGCAAGAAACAGAGCGAATCATGCCAGGATACAACTATCGAACCAACAACTATCCCCGTCGCTATACATGTCCGGGATTGACTGGTGCTGCCCTTCTTTATACTGTAGATGCATTCCTTTAAATCGTGTGACTGCAAGGTTTCGGCTCATGCTAGCTTAGCGAACTTACGCAAGTCGCTTCCGAGGGAGACATACTAACCGTGCTGTAGACGCCAGTCTGCGGCAACGTTTGCGTGGGAAAACATGGCACGCCAAAGTTCTCGGTTCTTCGTGTGCATTCTGACTTTGTGGAGCTGCGTTGGTGAAGAGATGGTGCTGCCCTCGGACTGGCGTGCGGCATAAGGCATACGCCATTGCAAACATTATATAGATGATAGATGTGCTTCCACCTTTCGCCTAGGAGCAGCAGGATAGATTGAACAAGCTGGCGCAGCTCCTGGAAGATGAAGGTAACAACTTGAAGTCCATGGCTGCAGCTCTGCACAAGGAAGCCCTGTAAAGTGGCACAGCACGCGAAAGGGGAAGGATGCGCATTGTGAGCATGCACGCATCACATGACTTCTCAGGAGTCAGCAGCGGTCGAGGATGCATTCTCCAGACAGGAGGACATTACAAAGATGATTGATTATTCTTGATTTCTTTTGATGTTGATTTTAGGTCTATTGACCTATATAATTTACCTAACCAGAAAGTCTTGTTCCACCAGTGTGTGGGGGGGAATAAAGTCCGATTCAGAAACAAACAATCCGCGATTCAGCAACCAAAATTGCGCGATTCAGAAACCAAAACTGCGATTCAGAAACAAAAAAAACGCGATTCAGAAACTAAAGTTCCGCGCTTCAGACACTACAATTCCACGATTCAGAAACCAACATTCCGCGATTCAGCAACCAAAAAACAACGATTCAGCAACCAAATGCATAGCGGCATAGTAGGTTAGGTGGGGTGGTGGTATGGGGTTGGTGTAATAACGTTCCTGGGAGATGGCAGCTGGGTACTGAATCACAGTAGGTTGGGTGGGATGGTGGTGGGGGTTGGGCAATAACGTTTCTGGGAGATGGCACCTGGGTAAAACGTGGCAGCTGGGTACTGCATCGCAGTAGGTTGGGTGGGGTGGTGGGGGCTGGGCTAACAACGTTCCTGGGAGATGGCACCTGGGTACTGAATGACAGTAGGTTGGGTGGGGTGGTGGGATGGGGCTGGGGTTGGGGTGGGGGGATGGGGCTGGCGCAATAACGTTCCTGGTAGTGACCGTGCAAAACAAGGGCAGTTGGGTTCTGAATCACAGTAGGTTGGGTGGGGTGGTGGGATGGGGCTGGGGCAATAACGTTCCTGGCAGATGTAGTGACCGTGCAAAACAAGGGCAGTGGGGTTCTGAATCACAGCTTGGTTTCATCGTTGCGCTTGGTTTCCGAATATTCGTTGTGGTTCCGAATACTCGTTGGTTTCCGAATAATCTTTACTGGTTTCCGAATAACGTTTGGCTTCCGAATAATCGTTTTGGTTTCCGAATCATCGTTTTGGTTTCCGAATCATGGTTCCTTGGTTTCCGAATCTCGCTTGGTTTCCGAATCATCGTTTTGGTTTCCCAATAAAACCGCCACCGTGTGGGGGGGGGCTTATGCTCGTAGAGGGTGCTGCCGGGGATAGGAGGCTGCAGCAATGAGAGCAGCTGCCAGTGGTGCCAGCATGCTGAATGTGGCAGGTGAGGCTTTGGGTTCCCAAGCTGCAGGGCAGTGAACGTGGTGTGGTACGCGTGTCCTACACCTCCTCGTGCGGCTAAGGCTCTTCGGTCCGTGTGTCATTGGCATGTTTGGACGGGCTCCTAGGTGCCCAATCCTGTGAACAAGAACTAGTGACTAGTGACTAGCACTTGATGTAATAGATGAGAGAGGTCCTGCAGGCAGAGCTAAAGCTCCTAATCCGAAGCAGTCACAAGAGTTGGACCTCATACATCTACAAGTGAACTGCCAGGGCTTGAGAGGTTCAGAGCGGCTTGACTGAATAGTTTGCCGACTCAAGTAGCTTACAAGGACAGCTCGCTTGCCATCCAAGGCCACCTGCAAAGAGGGAGTCAGTTCGCCTGGAAGCGCTAGACTCACTAGATGCTCAGTCTTTCAGCAGCTTGGACAATCATTAGAAAGCACTAAGCCCTGACTAGACAGGTGTTCGTTCTTGCAAGAAAGACACGCCTAGAACTGTTCAGGGTAGGGAGGCCCAAGGAGTTAGGCGTGAATACAGTGATAAAAATATGTAGGCAACAGCACTTGGCCTGCAAAGCGTCTAGCATTTCAAGGTGGGTCTCACTGCTAAGTTCGGTGCATCGATAGCAGGCTTGGCCAGTCTGCCATCAGGGTGTCCCACCAAAGGATTGACAACGCCACGTCTGACACATGAGATTTGTCAGAAGCACATCAAGTCATCATGAGTCATCACTAATCGCCACAGTTCTTTGCACACCCAGATCATTACAGATTACAACAATTTAGCACAGATCCCCGCCGATCACAACAGATCACCACAACAGACTTGAAATCAAAGCAAATGGGCGCCGATTTGGTCACTAATTCATTTCTACAGTACAAGGTACAAGGTGCGTAAGGTGGGTGATGTGAGATGCCATGCCTTGCTTTATTGGAGGCCCTCTTGTTGTATTTTGTGCGTGTGGAACCATGCGTTGTCCCGTCTTCCGGCGATTGTGGCGGGTCTGTCTGCGGGTGTGGTGTGGTATATTTCTTATTATTTCTTAGCTGGCGCTCCCCTTCGTTCTTCTGATAGAGCCGGGATTTGGCATCCGGTTGTTGATGACTGTGAGCTTCGCGGACCTCTTTTTGGTTGTCAGCTTGACATGCGTTTTTTTTTGTTAGTGGCTGTGTCAAACCACGTCTTTTTGATTCGGGATTTGGCTTTCGGTGTTCGTGGCAGCTCCCCCTCGCCACCACGTGCCTTGCCTTCCTTTCGGGATTCTTCTCTTTCGGATTTTGGTCTTCAGCGATCTCAGACTGATCTCATAGTGAACGCACCGAAACGGTGCTGGCAGTGCTTATCAAGCGGCAACACATGGACATCCATCCGTGCCATTCGGCGGGGACCACACTAAGGGGGTGTTTCAGTAGCTATTCTGTTTGATTTCTTTGGGCATCCCCAGCCCATGATTGCACACTCTATTGTGTGGATAATGGCTAGCGGCGTCTAGGTGACCGTGCCAGCGGCCAAGGTGACCCGAATTTGCAGCTTGACGATGAATTGTGGTCGTTCCGTCAGCGTGACATTTGGTTTTGAAGGTTAACTGGAAGTGAACGTGTTCCCTGCCAGTAGTTCTCTTTTGTTATTTTCACTGCTCGGTGTCGTCATGCCTTTCCGGTGTCACAAGATTTGTTCCAAGGCAATTGGACCAGACTCATGCTACCAGAAGAGTGGGAAGGTGCCACATGCAATGGTGAAATGGTGTGCAAATGTAGCTTTGTAGCTTGTTTTGGTGACCTTTGGCAGCAGGCAATCTACACAAGTTGGAACCCTTTCAGCAGAGGACGGTCTTGCCGTCGTAAATTTCTGACTTGATTTGGCACGATTGAAGGAGAAGAGGTTGCAAGACCTTCTTGGGCTTCGCAACTTGGAGGAACATAGTTCAGTTGCTCAAAGATCATGCTTTTTCATTTTTGCTGAGGCTAGATGTGCTTGCTGCTTGCGGCGACAACAACAGTGAGAGTCCTGTTCGAAGCTGAAAAGATGCCTGGCAAACTGTGGATTATGAATTTTTGCAACAAATAGCAATTCAAAGCAACATACATACAGTGTATATGTGCGCAAAGGCTACGCCACTCGCTTGTGATGAGTGTCTGACATTTTCTGCCGCTTGAGCTTTTAGGTTGGCTCTGAGGGAGGTAGTAGTGAGTCATGAGAGGCGGGCTAAGCCTGGTCCTTTTGCTGGCAAGCAGCTGCCCTGCATTCGGTAGATTAGTTTCGGTGGCTGACCTTCATGGCGACTTTGATCGGACCGTCACCATTCTCGCAAGTGCCAAGTTGATTGACGAGGCGGGGGCCTTTCTTTGGAGTCAATGTTTTCTTTTTTCTCTCTGGGGTCCTGAATGTTCCTGATGGTTGCGTTGTCGGGACAATACTGACATAGACACCAAGGGAAAGGAGAGCTTCAGGAACGGAACTTGGATTTCTTGATACGTGTGTGAGACAGCTCAAACACCTGGAGGAGACTCACCGATGGATTGGCGGAGACGCAACTTTGGTCCAAACCGGTGATATCACTGCAGCTTTGCGGCACTGTTTTTGATCTTGTTTCTCCGTTTGCCCCGCATGAGGCAGGAATGATTTTTGGATCTGAGGACCGGGGCGACAAGTGCAAGGAGATCTACCAGTTGTTCTTCCGACTTCGCCAGGAGGCTGAAGAGGCTGACTTCGTTTGCGGATGTTTGCTGATGTAGAGTGACATGGTTACCGGTTGAGTGGCAGGCAGGCGGCCGTGTCATAAACCTGCTGGGCAATCATGAGGCGCTGCTTTGGTTTATTGTTGTTTGACTAGGCATTAGGCATCATTAGGCTACCCATCACTGCACACCCTAGAAACATATCGGACATATCGCACGAGTTTTGCATGCAGCTGCATTTGCTGAGATTTCTGCGGGAGGATTTTGCCAGGGTCGGCCAGGCCAAGTTGCCACAATTCATACTAAAAAGATCTAAAAAGGTTAAAACAAGTATATATATATATGGACTTTTTTGTTTTGGCTTTGCGTCAGGTGATGAATATGCAGGGTGATTGGCGCTATGCAGCGGCCTTAGAGTTGTGTCCCCTCCAACTGGAACCTCCAAGAAAAACACCCAAGTGAATTGAGTGTGAGGTGAGTCAGGGAGACCTTGAGAATTTCGGGGGGATGGAGGACCGAGCTATGTTGAACTCAAAGGTGCACCAGAACCTCCTGCTGAGTCGGTCGGAACCCTTTCGACTCTCGACCGTTTCCAACCGGAAGGGTTCTTCAAGGAAGCCAGAAGAACCTACAATCTTTCGGGCTTTTCTGTGACTTTTCCATCACCTCATCTTCACAAAAATAACCCGCGGCCCGCAGCCCCGAGCAACATGTAGACAAACAGCGTTTTTTTCTCGACAAAAGGTGGTCCTTCCCCCAGGAGAGAAAGAAGGCATGGTCTTGGGACGGCTGGCTTGGCTCGGAGCTGCAGAAGTTTCCAGTAGCAGTGGTGGTGGACCGGGTGCCGTGGCCCACAATGCATCACAATAGAGTTTGCCATACATAGATTTCACTTTGCTTTCCCATAGAGTTCCTTTTACACCAGTGTTTGTGCTAAAAGCTTTGCATTTGTGCTGGGGGTTCCATGTGGTGCATGCTCATCATCCGGGTGAACCGACAGCAAGGTGCTCTTTGTGCACGCGGGACTTTTACCCGAGATGCTTGAACATCGTAGTCTGGAGGATTTGAATGCAGCCTTCCATGCAGCCTTGAAACATGTGAGCAACTCGCAGAAGATGAGAAAGGATGAGCCGAAGCTTTTAGGTAGTCATGGTCCGGTGTGGGCCAGAGACTATGCATATGGCCGACCTGGTGTTTGCAAAATGGCAAGCCAGGTTCTTGCAAAAGTGCAGGCGGACAGGATGGTGGTTGGACATACAATTCAACGAGATTATCATGTGCACACCCGGTGCGACGGGCAGATCCTTTTAGGAGACACTGCCATCTCAAGCGTCTACGGCGGTGAGATGTCCTACATGGAGCACGGCGATGGAGGGGTGAAGGTCATGTACCCTGGGACCAAGGAGTCCATGGCACCTTTGGGCTTCGCTCATGGTGATGCCGAGTCAGCGTACAGAGGCACCGGCCAAGCTATTGTGCCGGAGACTCAGACTGGACATTTTTCATGGTCAGATAGTCAGATGGTAAGATGAATTAAGATGATGAACCCAAGGACCCCCTGGCATATAGCCAATTTAGCCGTGATTATCTTTGTCCTTGCTGCTTCGCCAACTTAGCAACCTTTTGCTTTTCAATCCGGTTGGGGCATCGGGGTGAGAATGAACTGGAATTGACTCACATTGACGTGCATCGGCCCGGAGCCTTTTCTGCAAATTCCTGCAACATCCTCTATATAATGTATAGTAGACTCATTCTGGGTCAAGCATCTTAGGGGTCACAATAGGACGCGGAGTGCAAATTTGTGTCACTTCTTTTGGCAAAGCCATTGGATGCCCGACCCAAAGTGCAAATTTGAGCCAAAGGTCATTTTGCATCCGAAGTCAGGTTGCAATCTGGAAGTGCTGTGGGTGCCGAAAGCCACGTACCACCTGAGTGCTTGCAAAGCCACGTACACCGCGACGGTTCTTGGCCTTCCGATGCGATGGTGTAAGGGTGATGTCGACCAGCATAGCTGCCACGAAGAGTGTGTCACTCCAAGGCGCGAGTGTGGCGCCATGTGTGGTTTATGGTGGTTGCGAAGACTGGCGCGAAGCTTTAAACACCCAAAAATTTCTTGTGCGCCTATGCAGGAACAGCTTTTTGTGTTAGCGCACAGAGCGTACTAGGAGCTCCAGTGCCAAAGCCTGTGATGTAAATCGTCAAGGCTACCGTCTGCGTTTTGCGCAAAAAAAGACTAGGTGCGAGGGTAGCAATTGGTAGCCATAGGATGATAGGTAGCCATGCCAGGATTGTCGTGGTCTTTGCTTCCGCCCATTAACCCATTCCGTCAAGCTGTTTGGTCCAGTGCAAACGCCTCAAAGATCTTGGAGCAGTGGCGAGTGACCATGCTTCTTGAAGCCTCTAAAGCAGAAACTTGCTAAGATCTCACACACACACACGCTTGCTGCAGGTTTTTTCATTCCAACCAGAAAAAGGTCAGCACAGCACATTTCAGCGTGCCTCCTGCGCTGTGGAGCCCGGGCTCTTCCTGCAATGGCAGCATCTGGCTGCATGTGCCGCCAAAGTGGATGCACAGTGTAGTCCGACAGGCCACGGCTGCAAAGTTGCTTTCCTGGTGGGTGTGTCAAGCACGACGATTATACTTGATTCCTGCTTGGAGTTTTTCGCCATCACTTTTGTTCCCTTCTTTGGATGCTTAAGGATCAATAAATGCGAGTGAAATCCTGATCTCATCACTCACCCTCGCTTCAGGCAGTGTTGGTTGCCTTTCAGCTATTCTGCCAGGGACTCAAGCTGCTCTGGAGGTGACTCCGTAACCTGAGCACAGGGATGAGGAGCAAAGGGCATCAGGTTGATTGTCAAGTGGTCCAGAAAAGGCCTATTGGCGCGGGGGGTGAGAAACGGACAGTCTGTGAGGTAATCGAGATAAGGCTTTACCGCCAACTTGTGACCTTGGCCCTTAGGCCTCCTTACGCCTGCAAATCTCAACAAAGATCACCCGATATATACTCAGTGAAGAATCGAAGACAACGGTTCAAGGAGTCGCTTCGACTGAAGGCGCCAGGTGTTTATTGGTATTTAGATTATAAGACCTATACGGAACTGATAGTCGGAATCGTTGGAGTGAGTTGAGTTCTCTGAACCATTCTGCTGAGTGAATGGCACTTATGTCGATTCCCTTATGTCCGTATATGTGTTCACAGAAATTGCAGCTTCTAATTACATAAGAGAAGATTTTGAGAACCCTTGTTTCAGTTCTCCATCTCTCCGGTTGGATCAGGTCTTCAGGGACAAAGCGACAGTTGCGCTGCAGATGGGCAAGATGCCAAGTGTTTTGTAGACATTCTACAAAACACATTTATGTACGATGTATCATACCAATTGTGTCATTCCTTTTTTTTTTTTATCTTTTATTTTGAATTTTTCTGAAGCTTTTGGTGATGTGTGGAGGCACGACTTGTCAATGACAACTGCTGATTCTCCATGTTGTTTGTTTGAACTCAGGACCTGTGCTGAGACCCTGCACAGGAGGTGGGATGAAAAAGCATGAAAAAGCACTTGCTAGCTGCTAGCTGCTAGCTGAATTGCAACTGTGAAGCTGACTCGATGGCGGCTGTGACTCGAGCAGTTGCCTCAGAGGTCGTTCGATGAGCCCCTCCAGAAACCGCACAGAGAGCCAAAGGAGGTGCAATGGTGACAGGACATGGGGTTCTTTAAGAAGTTCAATCCGACTGCAGGTCCTTCGTGACACAAAGCGCTTTGGTGAAGCAGCCCTGTTTGCGGGTGACACTGCGCGTGGATGAAAACATGTGAACACCTGACGTGCTGACAGGTCGGTCTGGTAGGCCTGACCCTCAGATTTGTGACCATTTGGGCATGGCGAATTGCTTGAAGTCCAAAGCGTCGACCATTTGAACAGCACCTCACGGGATTTGTGGCTCCATGTTTTACATGCTTTACGTTTTTCCCTTCTCTCGGCCGGCAGGGTGAACAATGGCCGAGAACCATTTTCTCGACCCTGGAAAAGTGTCTTCAATTCCATTCCCGGAATGGTAGCAGGGATGTGAATGAGAAAGTTGCTGAGTGTCGCTTGCGCCAAGGTCCATTTTGGAGCAAGAAGTCCTGGAGCTAGAAGCCCTCTCGGAGTCATAGTCTTTGAGCTTCCCCAGTGCAGCTTTCAATCTACAGTTTAGATTCTAAACATTCGAGCTACTCAGGCTCTACCAGAAGCAGCTAGCACTGCTGGAAGATCTTCAAAGGGGCCTCCATGCCGGCCTGGGTAGGCATCTTCCAAAAGCCAGCGTCGCCCTCTCAGCTTCAGCAAAGTGTTGGATCACGGGTGTCCTGACTGCACTACGATTCCCGACACCAAGAGCCACCGATTGACTCAGCCACATCGTGTCAAAACAGAAGTCCATTCCATGAAGTTGTGAAACATGCAGAGTGCACAAAGCCTGCAAGCACAGCACAATAATAGAAGAACAAAGACAACTTAACAGGGGCACACTGTTCATCTTGAAGAGGACAAACGTGAAGTAAAGCCACATGAAGGGGAAGAAACATCCACATGAAGGGGAAGCATCCGGCCATTTCTCACATGCCCATCCACTTTATGCCACACATGCTTGGTCTTTAGCAAGATTAGCTCAAGCTGTTCACAGCTCACATTAGCTTTTTCTGTGCGTGATGGATGCAACACTGTTGGATGATAGGCACGTTGATTTACAGCAGCACCTTGGTAGCAACCGGAGTTGCGTACGACATGAAGTGCCAGCTTGGCCACGCTAAACTCTCCAAGCCCTGCTGGCAGTTGTTTGAAGACTTTGAAGCGAACGGTTTGACAGGGCTTTGGCAGCACAGACGACGAAGGTTGCAACATGCGACGGGCACACATGCACCAAAATTGGTGCGGCTTTGAGTAGATTTTTAGGTTTTTTGGAGTGAGACCACTTTTTGCAAACAAACCCATTTCACCTAAGCTGTACCCAGAATGCTCTGATCATGAGTTGCACTGCTTGTAACATCGGCATCATGAGGATCACGCAAAGCAAGACTGAACTTGGCACAGGCATCGACGAGACTTCTTAGCAGCTGAAGGCTCTTCGTTGGAGCTGATAGCGCTACCAGACAAAGGCCACAAGTTTGATGTTATTACATGCCATTGATGAAACTCGCGTGGAGTTGTGCAGGGCCTTTATAATTTTGTTTCCACTTCCATGCGTGAGGCTTTGGTGTCAGGCGGGGTGGCTGGGAGTGGCCTTTGATGAGGCACATTTGTCCTGGCGATGCAAACGCCAGGACAACTGCCTCAATCGAAGCTGGGTGCTGCCTACTGGCTGAGCCACCCTTGGCGATCATCCAGCTTCAAAGCAGCAGGGAAGATACAGTGGCCTGCGAGCATTGTTTACTTCCCTTAAGGACGGGTGCTGGCAACTCTTGGAGGGTCCCAGTTCCTGCACCATGGAACGTGGCCGTGCTGCAAACACGCATCTAGGATTGTAAGATTGTTGGGCCGTCCCGTGTCAAGCCCAGGGCCCACCGTCCCTGCAGGCAGAAAGATGCGGAAGACGTCCAAACTTCTGGTGAGTGCAGCTTCTGTCGCGCTACATATTGTTGTGAGCAATGCGTCAGTGACGCCTGGGCATCAGGGCATGATTTCCTTCGTGCATCCAGCAGAATAGAGCTCGAGCACCTTGAGCAGCTCCTAGTGGAGCTGGGCAATGTTGGGGAGGCCTTTCGCTTGGCCTTGAAGTTGTTGGCCAAAGGTGCCATGTCAACATGTCCTGATGCCACTGATGGCCGCAGCAGCATCTTCACATTGTTGGACGGCTTTTGGGGAGCTCCATGGTGGGAGACCGCTGCCCTGGCACCTGAACTTTTGCAAGAAGCAAGGTCAACAACCGCGACAATACTGGAGTTGGTGCAACACTTCATCCCCTTGCCGCCCAACTTTGGCGTCAATGATATGGCCAAACTGGTGGGGCAGGTGCGGATGAAGCTTGGTCTTGGTTGTTCTGACACCCATCCACTAACAGCTGCCTAGGAGGAAGTACATCTGAATGCTACATTTTTGAAGCGGCCAGTGATGTAGGGACCATGGGCTTCTACAGCAGCCCAGTGTCATTTTTCTTATCTTTTTGAGTTTGAGAGTGATCTGAGGAATGCTGTGGAGGTCCTTGTTCCATCTGAAGATGGTGCCATTGTGGCGCGTGGCTTGGCAGTGTACTGCGTGGCGTCGGCGGTGATGCTCGGCTGCACGGAGAACACGGCATGTGACGACTCTGCTGGCGAAGCCCTTGCGCCTAGCCGGGAAGAATCAGCATGCAGCATGGCAGCATGGTGTTGAATTTGGTGTGCAAGGGCCAGGGTCTTTATAGTCTACAGTCGTTTCCTTAATGCTTTGCGGGGTATACTGTTTGCGTGCTCAAGGAACCATGACTGCAAGCCGAATTGTTTGGAACTCAGCTGCTCTACGCTGATGATAGAGTGATAGAGTTCAGGGTGCAGGAAAATAAGTGAGTGTGTTCTGACTCAGGCACTTTGCAGTCATGCCTGCCACTGCCAGAGCTTCGTGGATGGGCAGTGCTGCAAGCCCTGAACGATCTAGATGAGGGAGAGGAGGCTTACAGCAACCGAGTTTTAAAATGTATAACCTGAAGAGCTGCCAGCCTAATGTTTAGCTTCTTTAAGCGTGCGCTGTGAAGCAGTCCACACACTCATACGCAAACAGACGGCTGCGCAGGTGACCATCGAATATCTAGTCGCTTAGTATGCAAATTGCTTGCACAGTGCGCCAGCCCTGACCAAACATTCGCCACACACCCCTTCCTACTGCACACTATATCGAGGGAACATGCCAAAATCTTCGGAGTTTATACACTATAATTGAGCCCCAACTCGGCCGCTTTTGAACAGCAAGCCAAGGAAGATGCCCCAGATCGCCACAAACAACTGCTTGAGCAGTGGCGATTTCAGTGCATATGTGAAAAAGGGCGGCAGCGTCTGAGTCACCATGAGACAATCTTCAGGCATGCTGCAGATGGAGAGAAATCACGACTCCCAGGTTCACGCGCTGCTCGAGGGTGTCCCGCCTTTGTCAGAGCAGGTCATTGGTGGAGTAAACGCCTCAGGCTTCAGGCACTGGTGAGAGTGGATGCATCGGCATGTGGATGTGTATGTATTATATATATATATATATTAGAATTTATGTATGTATCACTTTATGCACAACAATTTCACAGCACATGTCGCACTTGAAGGGACAAAGCCTAGGGGCCTAGATGAGAAGACAGAGTGGAGAGAAAGGAGAGAGGAGGGAGCCTTCGATCGTTTGGGGTCGCTTGAAGCTCTCCTTTTGAGGCACCACCTGGGCGACTTCATGCAGAGGACTTCGCCATGGTGGCAGCTTTTTCCATGGCCCAAGTTACTTGCCTCCCCATTGCAGGAGGAGGATGACGCGGAGTTTGGGGAAACGAAGTCTTTAGGCGCATTTCGCTTCCACTAATTACTCTATTTTGGCGGGAGATGCGGATGCGGTATGCTGCTAGCCCTGGGCGGACTTGGGCTTGTGAGGAGGTGCCACCTCCACAGCCGCAGCTCCCAACGACTTTGTGGTATCGAAAGCGGCAGAACGCTTACCTGAACTTTTAGCAAGAACTAAGGTCAACAACCGAAACAACAATACTGGAAGTGGTGCAACACTTCATCCCTTAGCATTCCAGTCTGTTCGAGCTTCCAGGTGGTGCCACAGGAGTGTGATGCCTAGCTGTGCTCTGCAGACTTTTGCCGACTTTCCTTCTCCGTGGCCCTGGAAACCACGGAGGTCAGCTGCAACGCTCCTCGGGCTTTTGCCGTTGCGGCTCCCTGAGTCGTTGCGCACGCGCACCTCGCGAGTGGCGAGTCACCGGTCGACGGCACCTGCAGGAGGAATCATCGGTCGACGGCACCGACCCCGACCTCACAGGCGCGCCCTGCGGTTGGGGAGGGGAGGAGACTGGAATGGCTTCAACGAACACACTGTGAGACTAGATGAGGCAGAGTCCCTTTGAATACCAGAATTGCAAACAAGGTAGATGTATGTTGGGCTGCTTCACAAACCCCTAGAAGCAACCAGCTCGCATGCAGATTGCAATGCCCACAGTCCTGGTGGTGGCTGTCTCACGCTCAGATTGGGGTTTGTAGTTTAGCTTGCCAGGTCTTCTTGCCTCAACATGTTCATCCATGTTGTACATCTTTGTACTACTTTTCGCCCACTCTGCAACTAAGCTCAGTATTCTTGCACCATGGGCCATGATCACAGAGGGGTGTGCTGGCTGCACTACAATTGCTGCTCTCAATCATGAGTATGTTTGAGACACCCTCAATAGCGTAGGCATAAATGCGAGGTCAAGAGTTTTCTTAGTCTCATGCTGAGAAGTTTTAGTAGCTTCTTGTAGTAAGGCCAGGAGCCCCTAGTAGCGTCCTAGTATATTGTGTGCATGTGAATCCATTTTAGCTTCTCTCTCGGACTTAGCCCATCGAGTCATGGCTTTGCTCACGGGCCCGGGGCAGCAGCTGACCTTTTGCCGTGGGGTTGTTGCGGTAACTGGAGAAGCCATTCAGCAGGCCTGTGGGGGAGATGCGGTCTACAGAGACTATGGTAGATTGAATTAACAACTACAACACTGACATGGGATATTTGAATTGCTTCCCCCAAGAATGCGCAACCACAGTCAGATATGTTTCTGCAGGCGTCGCAAAGAGGCCTCGATGATGTCGCAGCAGCGTGGGTGCAGCAACGTCAAAAAAGGGATGGTCAAGACAATCACATGACGTTTCTGAGCAAAGTTGATATTCAACTCCTGGCTGGCCAAGTCCATGACGGCACACAGGCTTGGAGTGAGAATGATATCCAGACTCCGAGTGCCACAGACATGGCTGACATTGCAAGAGCTGCTGCTTTGCTCCTAGCCAAAATCAGTTCCACGTGGGACTGGGTCGATGTGGGAACTGGCACTTGCAAGGATGCTTCCGGAGAATCTGCTTTTCGTGTTGTGCTGTGGCCGGCTGCTGCGGCCATGCGTGAGAAGCTTGCTCTCCCACCCAAGGATTTCCACATCACTTTGGGATTTCAGGGCTGCGATGTGCACTCCAAGAGCAAAGGGGTAGGCACTTTGAGCGCTGCTCCCGATGCAACTTCTTTAGCTCGACTACTTCAACTAGCATCTCCGTTGGCCACTGGACCCGAAATTGGGCCCTTCTCTGAGAGCATTGAGCTGCTTCTGGAGACTGCTTTGATGGGAGCGCGCCATCATTCAGACACCGCCGCGCATGTTGAGGCCTTGCAGACCTTGTGCCTTTACCACGGGCGACTGAAGCAGCCGAGCAAGGTTGGGCACATTGGGATCATTGGGGCTTTTGCAGAATGTTGTTGTGTGTGATCTAGTCTTGAGTCCACACATCATGAATTATTACAGCACACTATGGGTCCATTTCTGGGCACTGACTGCCTAGGTCTTGGTGCTTGCCGATGAGTTGTTGCAGCTGCGATCGGACCCCAGGGGCCGCTGCAGTCGTGCGTTTGCTTTGGTGATGCTGAGTCGCCTTTCGGAGGCATTGGAAGCGCTGGAAGCAGCAAAGGCTCAAGTGGAGGAGCTTCCAGGTGAAGAACGTGAAGTGGAAGAGACGCGAATCGCTCAAGCCATCGCACACTGCAAGAAAAAACTGGGCCTACCCAGTGCACCCGGATATTCAGAAGCTTCAACCATGGTGGTCAAAGACAACTACCCGAAGACACCCCACTTGCCATTTTCGCCAGGTGTCAATGAGGATGACACGTGCATCTCCGATTGCGCGCATCTTTTGGCTGGAGAAGTCGTAGTAACCGAGAAACTGGACGGTGGCAATTGCTGCTTGAAAGATGGTCAAGTTTTTGGCCGCACACATGCGCAACCAGCTACACACGAGTCCTTCTCTGCTGTTAAGGAGCTTGCAGCAAATTTTGGAGGTCAATTGCATGACCTGCAGCTTTTTGGGGAGAACATGCAGGGAGTGCACAGCATTGAATATGGAAACTTGCAAAGTTTCTTCTACGCTGCTTGGGTTGAGGTATGTTGAGGTCATGCTTTCTCAGAATGTGGTAGCGCCGTTGGTGGTGTGTTTGGTGACTTCCTTTGGGGTTGTAGTTCACGACCTGGGTCACGTTGGACCTGGGTAGGCCGCTTGAGTGGGCACTGGGGGCTCGGTACGAGGGTGTTGCGTCAGAGATCACCTTTTTCCCCACAGCCTGCCACGAGTTTCTGTGCTTGTGCAATCGCCAATTTTGAAACGAAGGATGGTGCCATCACTCAGGTTTTCGCGGCTCGACGAGGAACAACCTGGCTGAGCTGGGACGACACAGTGGCGCTGGCAGAACAGTTGGATCTCCCGACAGTGGCCCAACAGCAGGTCATTGAATGTCATTGACGTCGTCCACGGAGAGACAGACACAGACAGCATGTACTGTGTGCATATCTACTGTGTATATATATATATAATTAGAGGTAGGCGAAGTGCACATGAGCTTCACAATTAGGGGCCAAACATGAAGGACCTCACAACTGAGGTGCCCCTCGTATTCCGTGGCCATTTCTCCTCCTCAGCTCAGCTACAAAAATGCCTGGAGAAGTGGAAGAACGAAGCTTCAGCAGTTGGGGCGGATGTTAGTCCTGAAGGCCTTTTGGCGAAACATTCGACACAAACGTGCAATGTAGGTGCAAGTGAAAGAGTTGAAACATGGCAGATTGCTTCAGAAAGCTTGGCACTTTGCAGTTGACTGTTGGCTGCCAGGGCACCAAAAGCCCCGCTTTCGTGTTCTGCCCTCATCAGGCTTTGTGGTGCGACGTTCATCGTCCATTTCGGGTGGAGCCTTCCAAGATGAAATTGCCAAATTTGTTCGAGCGAATCACATCCAGACGGATGAAGCCTGGAAGCGAAGGTGGAAAAAGGCTTTGATTGGACCACTGTTGGATCCGAGACCTTGGCGAACCCTCGAGGTGGATTAATCGCCCGGTTTGCATAGTTTGCTCGATTGACCTGTGATTCGATGGTCTAGTCTACCTTCTACACTTTTTTTCTCTCCGCTGCCCACCTAAGCGGTGCCGAACGGAGTAGAGCCCGGAGAGTTCCTCTAAGAGGAGTGTTATGCACAAACAATGTACAGTGTACAGGAGAACCTTGACAGCCCATACTCCCACACCAGAAAAAGAGCTAGGCAAGTGAGATCCTGAAGTCCAAAGACGATCAAGCAAATCTGCATTCTGGGCGCTTCCAGACTTCCAGATCATTGAATTTGAGTTCAGGTGCAAGAGGATAGAGACATTTGCCTCTTCACTGTGTCTCCAGCCCAGCAATTTCCCTGAATTTCCAGTTCGTTGAGTGCGTTGATATTGGATTGGCCACTACCAGAAGTTGCGGGGATTGATTGAGCAATATTGAGCACATCCTGACCCTTGAGGTCAGGAGACCTGCTCTACACGTTCTCGTCTGGGCACAAACAGGTCAGACAGACGGAAGACATGAAGATATGGGTGTTTTCTGATTTGTGCAGCCTGTGCAAAGTATATTCATGCATGGCCACTGTTGGCTGAATGCAATGCTTTGCAGGCAGTGGCACAACTAGCAATTTCCCCCATGCAGGCTCGGATTCTGATCTTGAAGAATTCGGCAGAATCGAGTTGAAGTGACATTGTGGAAACGATAAAACAAGCATTCAAAGAGGCTTATATATAGAGGGTAGATCTAAGCTGATGTGGCATGCGCTTCCTGAAGCAGGATGAGTACATTGTCGCGTTTGGACCTGAGACAAGACATCCGGAATCACAAGTAAGATGTCTTTAAGATGAGAGCGGTTTTGGATGTTTTGACTCGGGGTCTGGGAGTGTCGACTTGATCAGTTTGGGTGTGTCGACTTGAAAGGACAGCAGATCTTGGGGGAGTGATGCGAGTGCATCGCCTGAATGTTCGACCACGACGGAACCCACAGGAGCAAAGGCCAGACTGTTGACCAGCCTGCTGACATGCTTTGGATAGCTTTGGCAAGTTTTTGCAAACCGCGGGACCCTGTGCAATGCACCTAAAGCATAAAGCCCCGACTCGACACGCGCAAGGTGGAGGGTTACCAATCCAGAAGAAGAGAAGCGCTCCCGGCAAGGTTTGAAGAGAACATGTCATGGTATCATGATGTGGATGGCGGCTTTCACATGCTTGCTTCCATTGATAATGTCCTCGTTTCTTCCATAGCCGCAGAGTTTTGGCAGCCCAAAGACCACTCGACACTGCCAGCCATGGTGGGTCTTCAAGCATGGCCATCAGAGATCCTCATGCCAAATGCAGCCTCTCAGCAGAGCTGACTAGTGAAAGGTCAAATTTTGAGTGCAGGTAGCCAGCACTTGACCATGTTTTCGACCATTGTATATGAACGGCCCATTTTCTTCAAACCATGAACCCACATGACCTCTTCAAGGTACCCAGGACAATTTTAAAGGAGGTAGAAGGCCTAGAAAGCATTGCTGTGGCAGAGCTGTCTGGGGAAAACCTTCACGAAGACGCGGGTCCAAAGACCAGAATGACCAGAATGTCAAGAAGCGTTGGAGAAAAGCTGGTGTGGTTATGAGAAGATTCTGAGAAGATCTTGAAAGTAGAATAGAAAGGACCCATCGTGTGTAGAAATGATTATGAGATGGCACCTCTGCTGATAAGAAAAATAACGGAGAGGTCCCATCCCGAGCTGGGAGGTTTATGGAGGTTTGATTACAAGACTGGTTTTGCACATTGTGCGGAAGATATGAGACGAGAGAGTCGGACGAAGAATCGGGAGGCCCCATCGCGAAAAGACAAACTTGAATACGAGAAGGCACCTTTGAATTGGGATTGGCAAGGCTTTCTGGCGAGAAGACTAGCTTTATTGTGAGACAATATGAGACATAAGACTTAAGAGGAGAGAGGGGTTCCGTAAAGAGAAGACCGTTCTAATTGTGCGAGGGCGATTTGCCTCACAGGAGAGATTTGAGTTTGAACAGGGGAGGTCCTTACTTACTTGAAGACAGGCTCGCGGCTTGATTCTGAGAAGGCGTGCTCCACTTCTCAGAGGAGAGATTTGGAAAACGAATAGGCCCTGCAAGCCACAGGCGCAGACAGGTCATAGGTTAAGTTAATTAAGGGTGAGGGCAATGGGCTAAAAGAAAGGCTTGGAAGTTGGTCGACTGATGAGGTCCTTGGCTGGCCAGCCCCCTCGTGCCGATTTCACTTGAACGATCTCACGTGCAGATGCTTTTGCTTTCACTCTTGAGGTGCAGAGCCCTAAGGCGTCGAAGGATCCAGTGACCCCACGCCAGCGAAAGCAGGCAAGATAAAGCCTTTAAAGCCGGGCTGAACAAATGCCGGACTTTCACCTTGCACATGTTTCATCCTCTGTCTCCGGTTGTACCCTCAGCCAGGCACAATACGCGTCTTCATTCTCCAATGAGGGATCGATGGTGGCGGACCATCAGAATCCTGGAGTGCCTCATCAGCAAACTCAATGCTTGCCAAATCTTGCCAACAGTCACTAGACAGTCCCTAGTCGCTAGCTGCCACTTGTTTGCTCCCCAGCTTGAGCCTCAGGATCCGAGCAGACAACTGCAAGTTAGCACAGACACACAGAAGGTCAGCTTCGGAGTTTTTTTTTGTGTTTGTTTTTTGACGAGCGTCCAAGGAGTTGAAGAGTAAAAGTTGTTGTTTCAACACTTTGAACTGATGACCGATGTATGTCCTTTTCTTATGTTGTTCTCATCAGCGTTGCTGTAACCATACGTGATCCACTCGATTCGATCGTCTTTTGAGGCTCGCGCTGCTCCGGTCAAGGTGAGGGTCTCCTTGCCCAGCCCCCGAGATTGCAAGGCGCGATGGGAGGGCAACGATATTTGATCAGCCTTCTCCAAATGCAGACATCTCCTTTATCTATTATATATATATATCATTATATATCATTATTTGTATATGTATATATTTATGTAGTTATATATGCGCATCTTATTCTTTGATTGATACTCCTCCGTGACGCCCTGCCAGGCAACCATGCTTCAAGGTGTCTTGCTTGCTTCATTCTATGTTGATTTTTTTGCCAGACGGACGTTCACCTTCAAAAAGCTTGGGGAGGAAAATCCTCGTACCATGTGAGGAAGTGGCGTCGTACAAGTCACCGATGGCTCGCCGAGACTTGGCATCGCAGGATTCTAGGCCACACAGCTCGGGAGCTAGTTTAAATGATCCGAGGAAGAAGGGTGGCCTGAGCTGCAGCACTTCTCCCAAGAAGAAGGCTTCTGTGCAGTTCTTTGTGGAGGATGTCAGCTTCCCAGAAGACCTGGCACACTGAACGAATGGCAGGGCCTTTGTGAACCTAGGAGCCAGCAGAAGTGACGGCGAAGAGTGGCCCAACCGCACTGCTGACATTCTGCTCATGACATATTGTGATGGCAAACTCATGGGGTTTCGTAGTTTGTTTGGACCTGCCAGGGGTCGATCTGAAAACGACCAGCGAATATTGGACACAGACGACGAATATGAGCACGTTGGACACGCGAGGGGAGTTGATCCGGCACAAGGACCAGAGAATTGGTCCCTTTAAAGGGCACCTTAAAAAGAATAAGTTATCTAGCCTTCGAGTGATCTTTTTGGTGTATTTGGTATGTTCATATCTCACATTCATGTCAGTCCGATTTGTGAAGGAGGCCCGCGATTCTTGGACGCAGCTTAGCTCTGGGGCTTTCGCCTTAGATGGCCGTGGCATGTAAGACTTGGCATACACTTGTGAGGGGTTGAGCAGCTGCTTCAGTTCCATTCTGCTTTTGCCCAGGCACGAAAACAGCGTGATCTGGTCTCACAAGTCTTGGGCGGAACTCCAAAGTCACACCCGAACCTTGCTCGCAATGCACGTTTGAGACACTCGAGTTCCGATAGAAATGGTCCACGTGTCACAGCAGACCAGGACTTCTCACTCACAGCCGCCGCGCCTGTCACCGCGCAGCTCGTCGCCTCGCAATTATGCGCTTCACGAGACCAGGCAAAGGACGTAAGCAATCTTCTCACCAACTTTCTTTGCGATTGCCTCCTGTTATTATTTGTGTTGTGCTCGGCTCAGTGAGAAGTTCCCATGCAATTTCGTTGTCAAGAGCAAAATTCGGGGCGTTGGTGCGGAATCCGCAAGACGAACCCTGCAATCGAGAAAAGCACAGAGCTGGAGATTCTGTACAATCAGTCCACTCTTTGTTCCGACATGCTGTTCAGTCTCAGCCTTTGTTCTTGGTTAGCGGGTTGCTTGATGCTGTTTGTGTTCAAATAAGTAGACCGTTTTCAATCAATGACACCTTCTCGAGTCTAGAGCCGAGCATTGGGGCCCTCGGGGTAAGAATGGAGAATTGTGGCCGTGAGGCTTCCCTTGAGCCCCAGACAGCAGAAAGCCAATGAGATGGCCACCTCGGAAAGCCACCTGGCACCACCTGCGTTTCAAAGCCCGGTTTGTCACTTCGGCCTAGGCGAGGGAGCAAGACCTCTGAGAATCAAGAGCTCATTGTAGAACGTGCTGAGTAAATGTGATTGAGATAGCGAGATATTTGAGACGACATTGATTTTGATATCCTTCTTGATTTGTATTTTTTGAAGTCAGGAATTGGATTTGATTGAGTGCCTTGCGACCCGAGGCCAACTGAATGGTTTTGCCGTCTCTCCGACGTCCAAGTCCCTCAGCCCACGCAATGCGGCCATGAAAGCAATGCGCTACTCAGTGGCAGACCTTCCATGCCTTAAAGTCTTAAAGCACAAGTCGTTGTCGTTTCACGTGGAGGGGAGGTTTTGGAATTAGTACTGGGATGTACTGGGTAATGTTTTTTTGTGCTGGATTTGAGGTGATGCGGGCAATGATGGCTTGAGGCGAAGTAATAGCCAGTTCTCCGACCTGACTGGCCGGGTTGAGACCTCTCCGCGAACCCCACGGCGGAGTGAACTGTGTCATCCTAAGCTTTTCTTTCTCCTTGTGTGCTTGACTTGCTGTCTCCCATTTCTGCTAGAAGTGCAGCAGTTGCAGACGTGGTGAGCTTAAGGCAAGATACAGCCCAAGTCTACTGGATGAATCCCAGTACTGAAAAATCACGACTGATTGCAGAGCGTCAGGGTGTTTGTCTCAGCTTTGCCGTGAGAAAAAGCCTCGCTTGTGAGAGCCAGAGTCTTTGTTCTTTCTTACTTCAGGGAGGCGCGATGAGGAGACGACTGGTTTCTCGGCATGCTTCTTCCTGCTCAATTGACTTTGCACACATGTTAAACAAGAGAACAGAAAACTCGTAGCGTGTTGTTTAGGTCAGATGATTTCTGGCTCTTGATGCTGGCTAAGGCAGCCTAATTCACCAAAGTCGAGAGGACGTAGAAAACTGGTCTCCAAGGCTCGCCAAGCTATGCCCTGAAGGATGTGGCATCAGTTCGCAGATACGGTACAGTACGCATGCATGGCCACATGCTCTTTGCGTCAGGTCAGTGCCAGAAACTCCCCGACAGAAGAAGGTTTGGGAGGAGCAGCTGGTGCAGCATGATGTTCGATCATTTTTGGACAACTGTGTGTGTGCACTGTTTTTCATCAGGAGGAACGGTCCTGCTATGATGCTGCGACTCTTGGCTTTAGAATGACACAGCAAACCCGATACGCTCCGGTGTATTGCCGCACTCACGGCCTGCAGAGCGATTCAATTCGAGTCGATGGACTCATTTTCTGCTTTGCCTCGCCCTTGAGGTCCTGGAAACAAGCATCCTCGGAGATTGCCCGACGCAGGTCCGAACTGCTTGTCCATGCACCGTTCCATAAGACGGAGTCTTCGGAGAGATTGTGGGCCACCTCACTCCTCACCAGTGTTTGACTGAAAGGAGACCCGCAAATGGGAAGACTTTCTGAGGAAAGGGTGGGTATTTGTGCAAAGTGAATCAGGGTTTGTCCGCCCTGCCTTGCCTGCAGGCGCGATCTGAGAGCCAGCAAATCGATGGGTGCCCTCCCTGATGCCGGTGATGCCCTCTCACCTTCTGAGAGGAAAAGGGTCCGAGACCAAGAATTTCACATGGACAGATGACGTCCGAGATGACTGTGAGCCAACAGCTCTTTTGCACGACCACGTCTTTG